CACATGCAGGTCATTCTTAAAAGAACACAGTGCCCTGGCTCTTTTCAGAAAGTTGTCATGTGGCCACATCCCTGTGTCTAAGCTGACTAATTAAATCTTTCTAGGATCCCAATTTATTATTTTATTTTGTTTTTATTGATTTCAGAGAGAGGGAGAGAGGGATAGAGACATCAATGATGAGAGAGAATCATTGATCGGCTGCCTCCTGCACGCCCCCTACTGGGCATCAAGCCCACAACTGGGGCATGTGCCCTGACTGAGAATAAACAGTGACCTCCTGGTTCATGGGTCGATGCTCAACCACTGAGCAACACCAGCCAGACTAGGATCCAAATATCTTAAATCTCAAACTTAAGACTGATTTTTCCACCTGCAACATGCAGTATGCATAAAAGCCGTAGTACTATGACTATCACATCGTCTTTTTCTAGCTAGCTGTATATGATGAGGTCTCAGGTTCAGCCTAATTTCTTTGCTCCTCACTTTATTTCTCTCAGCCATGTCTTCCTCTTCATTATCAATTAAACAAAATTGGTGTGGGAGGCTGCTGTTTGGGCAGAGGCAGTGATCTCTGGGCAGGAAGGCCAGGAGTCCAGAGGCACTGAATCAGCCCCCACGTCTCAGTCCTGGGCTCCTTTCATGGCCAGAGTCACTGTTTTGCATTTCACAGCTGCTACTATACCAGGAACAAGCTGAGGCTGTAGCTCCTCTCTCTGTGTTGCTCCCCAAGCTCAGAGATGAGAGAAAACAAACAGACAAACCACAAATGCTCAATAATCCTTTTAACCGTCATTTTTCATTTTTTACTGGAGTTCTAAACACAAATGCCTCTGGGCACAAAAGGATATTGGGTCAGGTTGCTGGTCTGCCAGCCTGGAAAAACCTGGCTGGAGGAACCTTATGCAGGTTCTACTGGGGAGCATGAGTTTCATTTAAATTCTGAGTGAGGTTCTTTGCAGGGTTCCCCTATATTTGGGAAATAGCTCCCTGGAAGCTTTCTCAGGGGCCAGAGACTTTGTTCTCCAGTCTAAACTATGACCACTGTCATCTAGCCAATTGCCCAATCTTTCCATGAACAAAGAGGTGGCAAAGCCGCGTGGGTGTGGGAGGCAGCGGAGAAAGGTAGAGGATGGGAAGGGAGGTGGTGGGGATGAGCTGCAGCATCGGGTGGAGGCAGCCTGCTGTGTGGGTGCGCTGGGGTGTTTTACCTGGAGGTCATCCAGGCTGGCGTTGGGCACAAACACTTCCCTGGAGGAAACACCTCAGAAAGAGGCAGACACAGCTTTATGTCAGTGTTAAAGTGCAGTTTGCAAGCAGCCTGCGTCAGCATCATCCCAGGGACCACCGAAAAAGAAACATCAGTTCTAGGACATCATCCCAGACTGAGAATCTCTGGAGTTTATTACCCTCCCCAGGTAATTTTGTATAACAATATGAAAACTGGTTAATGCTCGGCCTGTGTGGCTCAGGGGTTGACTGTCGCTCTATGAACCAGGAGGTCACGGTTTGATTCCCAGTCAAAGCACATGCCCAGTTGTGGGCTCGATCCCCAGTGGGGGGCATGCAGAAGGCAGCCAATCTCTCCCTTTCTCTCTGAAATCAATAAAAATATATTTTTTAAAAATCCTTTGCTATTAGCCAAATTATTGGGCTTCTCTGTGCTCATATTCTCATCAGATAATAGAGCTCATATGCCCATGGCTACAAAGTTATTTGCAGATTCATGATAGTGCAATAAGTCCCTTGCCTGGTGCACTGGAAATGCTCTATAAAAGGTATTATTGATGAAATTTTCCTAGCATAATTCTTAACACATCTATTCCAACTTTACCTGCCATACAAGCTCGAGAAAGACCCAATGGGACTAGTGCAAGGGTTTTTAATCTGGTATCTACAGTTTTCTGTGTCAGTTTATTTTTATTTTAGAGTTTTTATGTGCAGGGATTTCTCCCCACCCCCAGCCAGAAAACTACTTAGGTGGGGAAGTCCATGCACTTGGATGGGAAAAAAAATTACACCTTTGGTTTTTACTAATCTCCTATAAAAGGTAGCATTCCCTCAGTTCTGAACACAGGCACCAAACCACTGTAAAATACACAGAAATCATTACATTACATTGGTTGGTGATATCTCAAAGTCATTTATACTCCTTACTTTGAAATTATGGTAGATCTTCCCAAGATATTATTTAATGCTTTATAACCATAACATTAAAACATTTTGATAACTATACTTTAATTGGTTTCCTTTATAAGCTGGTGTGTTTTACTTGATGCATTGAAAACCATTTTCTTAGAATGGTCCATAGGCTTCAGACAGGCAAGAAGGTCTAGGGTGGGAATTAGGCTCAGAGCTCCAGGCCTATTGGCTGCCTCAGTTGTCATTTAAAGTGACCATACCTTTCAGGTTGTCTGCTGGGACAGACTCACAAAGGTTCATATCACAAATGAGATAACAAGTGTTTGTTAGTACTGAGCATGTGCTTTCTAGACCCTGGTATGGGTGCTAGGGACACATCAGTGAACAAATTAGGTAAACATCCCTGCCTGCATGGAACCGACATGTGTGTGTGTGTGTGTGTGTGTGTGTGTTCAGGTATTATGATTAATGTGTGTGTGTGTTCAGGTATTATGATGAATGCTGGGAGCCTTGGTTAGTGCATTTAAGATGGATCATATAAGCCCTTGAAGTCCTTTCTAGCTTTACATTTTATTAAATGCTGACAATGATGAGGCATGATTTTTAAAACATTTGCTCCCTGAGCAAACTTCAAGATAAGGAACAGCTTGCTTAGAAAGCAGTACATTTTGATCCAGAAATCAGTAATTCTTCTTTTCCTGAGTCCTCTTTTTGTCCTTCACCAAGTTTATTTATGTAGGGGATGTTGTTAGGGTCCCAGCTCAGCCCTTCCTGAAAGTCATTGGTGACGGTTTCTGTATATGCCCACGGCTTCCCATGCCTCCCCCTCTTCATTAGAGGGAGAAAACTGCCAGGTACAGGTCGAGATGGAAGCTCTGGGAGTTGAGGCTGTGGGATCACCTCTCAGCCAATGAGGGATGGGAGATGGTGGACAAATATCCAGCATGTCTCTCCAGCAGGTCTCCAGTGGGAGCCCCAGTCACCCGTTGTGGTAACCCATTCATTAAAACATTTCCCCCCCAAAATTTTCCTCTCCTCTTTGTGATTTCTCCACTCTGCCATGATGAGTGAGCTTCTTGGGATCATCTCCCAAATAAATGATTTGTGTCAAAATCTTTGGTTCTCTTTTTGGCTGAACTTACATTAAGGTGATATATTAATTTGGGAGGAAATACAACTCCAGAATGCACACATTTTCAGGCTCAATTTGACCAACTTCACTGCACAATTTCAATTTGTACGATGTTATGTCACTTTCACAGATGCTTCTGCTTGTACATTTTGTACCTACTTAAGAACAAACCTATCTTTTCTCTGGAATCTCATTACATTTCTTTGATGACACAGTACTCTTTTTTTAAAAACCAGTTTGAGCAAGGAGTCTGACTGAACTCCTTGAGTTCTTAACTTCATGGAATAATTTTATTTTTCCAGTAATTTCTATTAAGTGTGTTCTTCCCAGTGGGTAATGAGTAACAACCATAACTCATGATTCTGTCTAATCCATTAAAAATCATTTCATGCCTGGCCAGCATGGCTCAGTGGTTGAGCATTGACCTATGAACCAGGATGGGTTGCAGTGGGGGGAAGGGGAGTATGTTGGAGGCAGCCAATTGATGATTCTCTCTCATCATTGATGTTTCTCTCTCCCTCTCTGAAATCAATAAAAATATATTTTAAAAAATAATTTCATTCTAATTTAAAATAAATCCCCTCTCCTTTGCTTGGGCTAAACTTGTATCAGAAAAAGATAAGGAGGTGGCAGTGGATAGGTAGGGGCAAGAAACAGGATATGTGCTCTTATTACACTTTCTTCTTTCCAAGTCCCTTCTCCAAATCATGGGGTCTCATACTAACACATGGCTTAAAATTATAGGGAGAAGTTGGGAGCAGAAGGAAGGTTCTGGTAGCCCATCTGGTTGCTTTGGAGATGCTGTTGGAAGAAGAGAAGATGTGTGCATCTCATTTGTGTCAGCCTGAAGCCTCTGTCATTTAGAATGGTCTTGATGAAGATGGTGCATGTAGTTTTTAGAATCAGGTTCAGCTCTACCCTGATACCTTCACCCTGCAGAAAAGCAGCCATACCTCCCTTTAGTTCCCTCCATGGTGTATGCCTCCAATGCATTATCTAGGTTGGGCATCCCAATGCTTAGCTAAATGGGTTGCCATGTTCCCTGTTCCATTTCCATGGCCCATCATCACCAAAGGAAGCTGATGTCTCATTCCATGCCCTGCAATGGCTTTGGGGACCTGCCTGGGAAGGTTACCTCCATCTTTTTCTTCCCTGGCATACTACATCCTTTCTCATCATGCTATCTCAGGCTGTTCCCTGAGGGTTTTCACCTTCTGAAATGTCTAGTTGAGAAATCAACTCTTTATAGACAAGTGTCCCTCTCAACTTCATGGTTTAAATGTTAATGTCTCCTTTGTCACCCAAACAAGAAGGGGAGGGGGAAACCCCCTTCCAGGTTATTAGAGACCTCTCACCACACCTTCTTTAATGCAAAAAATCTCCTCTTTATGTGTTGTTGTTGTTGTTGTTGTTAAAAGCCTTCAGATCAGTTCAGCATCTTTGGAACAGGGAAATGAAGTGGGTGTCTTTAGCTATGAATCTGGCTTTCCTTGAACTTGGCTTCAAGAATTTAATAATTATTTTTCCTCAATAGTGGTATCTACAACATAGTTTTACATTCTTTGTAACCGCTGGGGATGGGAATATTTGTCTTTGGCTTATGTCATCATGATGTTACACATAACTTTATACCAACTCAGTTGCATTCCCCAAGATCATAATGAAACCATTCTTGATTACTCAAGAAAACAAACTTGGGAAAATCAGTAGTTTCTAATAACAATGCGAAAAAAGGCAAACATTTATTTTTATTTGCAAGTGCAGTTTCTGCCAATAGTTAGTGCTCACAAAACCTTAAGCTACAGTAGCTTTCGGTAAACCCAACGAGTAGTTTAAAAAATACCCAGTGATAAGAAAATTACAGAAAAATTTCCAGTACACTGTCAAAATGTTTGGAATCCAAAATCCACTATTTTCTGCAATGGTTTTAATATTTGTCCTGGTTAAAAAAGAGATTTTCTTTGTCTTTTCTTTCTACTACATAGTCCTGCCTAAATTAATACAATCTGTTCCATGAATTTTTAGGACTGCCATTTTCTGAATTTAGATTGTTTTTATTCTTACATATTTATATTAATAGCTTAATATTTTACATAAAACATTGACTTTTGAGTTTTATGAAATAAAATTACAGATTCTATTTATGGTTAGGCATTTCCAGTTTTGGGGAAGACTGAAAATCTAATCAGTAGAAAGTCATTTTATGCCTTTTTTCCCTTTTAACTATAATAAATAATTAGCAACCTATTAATTACAAAAAAATCTTAATTATGCTTAGAGCAACCAGAGCATTTTCAGAAATTTAAATTCGTATTTGTTACAGTATGTGAAGTCATTAAGAAAAGCCTCTGGTTTTCCGGTTTGGTAACAAATGGCTTTTGTCTGATGCATAATTAATGGAAACTAATGATGACTATGTAGCTCTTCCAGAGTTTTAAAGGCAAATCTACATTGGCCTACAGTTAACATGCAAATTCATCCAACAAGCAACACAAAATGTAGTAGTCATTCATTGCTATCAACATTTGAGGAGACCTAGTCAGCAGCACAACTCTCCTATGTCAGAAACACATTATAACATGGTCACCACTGGAGTCAGGTCCCACCCTTCCTAATTCACCCTCTAGAGTCAGTTCAGCTTCCAGCACGATACATGAACAACAGCGATCAACACTGCGGTACGAAGGTAAATGCAGACAAGAGTTTGGTGTGCTAGCATACAGAGTTTTCAAACAGTGACAAACGAAACCAAACATCCTGCCCTGTTCTAGCTCCTTTCCCTTTGTGAGATTGGAAATCTCACGGCCTTACTGAAACCTTCAACATGGGGGTCCCAGTCAATGATCCTAGCACTGAAATTGTTCCTTGGGAGGGAAATTTGGCCACAAGGGGACGTCATACTTATTTGAGACAGGGCACCGGGGGAAATACCCGCTGGGCAAACACTGGTTTGTGACTAACAGCCTTAAAGGGAAATGTGATTTTTTCCAAACATTTAGCTTTATCCCAAAGAGTAGTTTGGTGGTCTCCTGTGGCTCAAATCTTATTATTTTTGGTTGGATAAATGAAATGCGCACTACCATCACCATCACTCTTAGTGCTTCTTCCATCACATAAGACACTTGTTAAGATAAGAAAGATATTCTACTAAAGCTGACGGTGATTGAGAGTCATTCAGTATTCAAAGTTCCTAAGAATCGTTGGTTCTCTGAAAGGGATAAAAAAGTAGGAAAGGCTTTGTTCAAACTCTTGCTAGTAAACAAGTATTACTTCAACTGATACAATGGCTACGCGACATCAAAGTACTATAAATTATCAAAACTATCGTACAGAAAAATTACAAATTCATTGCAAAATACATTACACTGCTACCATTAAGAAAAAAGTGCTTTTTGTTTTCCTTCCTTTTTTTTTGCCAGAAAAGTATTCTTTCAATATAGAAAATCCTATGTGTTACCCTGCATGTGGCTAGGATGTGTCATAACAGAGTTTGTACTGAATCCTTCTGATTTGCTGGATGAAAGGCTGAAAAATATAATGATGACTTATGAAAGCCGTGTTCCCAATGAGCATGCCAGCTGTCAGTGGAGAGATGCCGATTAAGACACAAGAAGATGCCCTGGTCTGTTAAACCCTGCTGGTCATCACACTGTCCCACCGATCAGCTGCTTAGAATGCACAGGCCTTTGCATGTTCTGTGGTTGCCTCATGTTCTCCTGAATTATTCTCATGTCCTCCTTTGGCTTTGTCGCCTGTGTGGATCCTCTGCTCAGTGATGCCTGTACTGTCTCATGAGGGGAACTATGCAAGAAGGTGGACCTGCCAGTTTCAAGAACGGATGTCCAAGGAGTTCCTGGGCTGTGGCTCTCTGAGAGGGCTCCCTCACCAGCATCAGGTCCAGGAATCCCCGGAGCACGGAAGAAACCTGTGAAAACAGTGACACCATCCTGAGGGCTGACACAGAGAGCCCACCCACTTCCCCTGAAGTGGTTTCCCAGCGAATTCCCAGAAAAATCATCAAATTCCATAAAATCAGCTTGGGGAGAAAGATGTTGTGGAAGTAAAAGCAGGTATTACCATTATTAACACATGATGTTTTCCTTACCTTCTTCATGTTTGAAATAATAGGAATGAATGGCAACGCAATGAATGATAATTTATTTAAGAAATAAAAATATAACGTTAAGAGTGGCAACAGCAGCTGTTATAAGTGCTTACTATGTGCAGTGCTGGTCATACTTGTTGGATGAAGTGTGGTATAAACACGGACTAGTTTTATTTTTCTAACAACTACAACCATCAGGTCTTTGTGAAATCCCCTTTTGTGAAGAGAAACAAGTTCCTGTAAGGATATTTCACGAGGATAGCATTTTTCCCCTTGAGTTTCTTTCCATTTAATTTTGAGGAACAGCTTACATACATTCAAGTGTGTAAACATTAAGTATATATTTCACAGTACAGTTTTTTTAAACATATATTTACACCTATTTACTCTCCATCTCCATACAAATATAGAACATTGCTCATTTTAGGAGGGTACCGTAGGCCCCTTTCCCATCAATACCCATTTCCCTGCAGAGGTTCACCACCATCCTGACCTCCAATCACACGAATTAATTTCACCTGTATTTGTCCTTTACAGGAATGGAGTCATATAGTTATAGACTGTCAACTTTTCTGTCTGGCTTCTTTCATTCTTTATTGTGTCTGTGAGACTCATCCCTGTGCAGCAAAAGTCCTATCCTTCTCATTGCCGTCTGGTATTCACACACCACATATTATGTATCCATTTGGGAAACGGCCTGGGGCAGTTTCCAGGTTTTGACCAGTTGGACTACAGCTGCTCTTGTACTTGAATTTGGAAAACATCACACTCATTTATAGTGGGTGTGGGGCTATTTTGATGCGGTACTATTTTAACCACATTTCATTATTTAAACTTAGCCCAATGCATGAAGAGTTTCAACCTCCTATTCAATTCAGTCTCCTTTTTTTTCTTTCTTTTTGCCTGGTCCTCACAACCTATCTGAGTAATTCTATTGGGGCTCTTCCCTAAGATTTAGGGGAGAGGGAAGAGGAGATGCTATCATTACAAACTAGTCTCCTAGTCTCTCTATAAGGCAGCTCCATCCCCCCCCCCTCTTTTTGCTGTGAGGGGGATGGGAGGGGAGGTGGGTGTAGGGTCAGTGTTTAGAGTACTGGTGCTGTGGAATGACCCTCTCAGAAAGCCCTGCCCACCCTGGTGGCCACCTCAGTTAGCATCATTTTTCCTACTTGGAAAACAGAAAAGACTACATCATCCCTTGACCATGTCCTTCATTACCCTGCATGGTATAGCCCTGCCTACCTCTCTGACACTATCCTTTCTCTTTGCTCACTTTCTCAGCATAAGCTTTCCATCTCGGCTTGGGACTTTGCACTTGTCTCTCTGCCTGGGACATGTTTCTCCCAGATCTTTGCTTGGTTTGCTCCTTCTTTCCAATTTGGGTGATCCCTCCCCAGAAAGGGCTGCTTTCACTCTTTAACCTAAACGAGCTCCCAGTGCCCTCACCTGCACACTCCATCACATCACAGTGCTTTATTTGCTTTACGACATGTACCAAACTCTGAAATTATTTTGTTCATCCATTTGTTTGTAGTTTATCTGGCTTCCCAACTAGAACGCAAGCTCTATGAGAGTCAGGACATCTGGGCTTGTGCACTGTGATATCCCCAGCAATTAGAACAGTCCCCGGCATGTAGCTGGAGCTCAAGGAGGGACTATTGAGTTTCCTCTTCTAGCCAATCCCATGAGAGAGGAGCCAACCTTGCCCCACTTTACAAATGAACTTCACAGATGGAGAAGCTGAATCCCTTGGCTAGTGAGTGAACAGGGAGAGCAGATATTTGAATCCAAGTGACTCTAATGGAAAGTCCCTGCCCATAAACCAGGATCTACTCCTGAAGGTGATGTGCCAGTCTTTACAATGTCAGGGAGACTGATAAAGCCAAGAACGATTTTGAACTTCAGCAACAGATGCCGCCTCTCACCTTGTGTAGGTCCTTCACTCGAGGAGGTAAACTGTCCCGGATCCTCCGCATTGCCTGCAGGGGAGGCTCGTTGAAGTAGGGGGGCTCGCCATCAATCATTTCTATCACCATGATCCCCAGAGACCAGATGTCCACCTGTTAGGCACAACCCACTGGTTATTTCAGGCAAGGAGAATGTTTTTCAATATTGGATGGGTCCAGGGAACCAAATAGATTTATATTTATTCATAAATTAATGTGGTTTTTTAAAAATATATTTTTTATTGATTTCAGAGAGGAAGGGATAGGGAGAGAGAGATAGAAACATCAATGATGAGAGAGAATCATTGATCAGCTGCCTCCTGCATGCCCCACACTAGGGATCGAGCCGCAGCCTGGGCCTGTGCCCTGAACAGGAATCTAACTGTGACCTCCTGGTTCATAGGTCAACACTCAACCACTGCCCAGGCTATGTGGTTTTTTATAATATCCCAACATTTCCAACACAGACTCACCGGCTGAATCACTGAGTTACCAAGTATTTGCTAATGGACTTCATTTGCTTTTTTTCCCCTTTATTGATTAAGATAATACAAATGTGTCCTTATCCCCCCATTGTCCCCCATCCTCCCACTCATGCCCTCATCCCCCGGTGTCTGTATCCATTGCTTATGCTTATATGCATGCATACAAGTCCTTTGGTTGATCTCTCCCCCTTAGCCCCACCCTCCCATGCTTTTCAGATTCAGTGAAGACTCTGATAATTAGGTACACATGAGTGTCCTAACATTCTGAGGCTTTGAACTTTATTTCTTTACCCTGTTGACTTTGGTGGTTAACTGTCTATCAGGGCAGGCGAGAAGAACATGCAAAGTTTTGTTTTGAACATAGAGCAGAAAGTTACATTTAAACTGTAAAAAAAAATAAGGATTTTGGACATATTCATAACAAACTGCAAAAAAGCTACATTGCACAACACAATATATTCTGATTCTTGTATTGATTTGATTTTAAAAAATAGTTCTCCCCCACACATACACTTTGGGGCTCTTTCTTTTGCGGCTTATCATTTTGAAGCAGCAGGCACAAAACCCTGTTTTATAAAACCATTTTCAGGAAATGGAGAAAAGAAAAGGAGGCTATGACAAGCAATTCTTTCTGAGTAAAGAATGGGGAGCCAGGACAATGGGAAGCCCTAGCTGTGCCATAAATCCCTGTTACAGCCTCATTACACCACTTATCAGTGAGCTGCATTCTTGTTTTAACCTTTGCAGTGACCTTCAATGAGAATTTATGCTCTTGGGAACAGTGAGAAAAATAAGTTGAATGCTCATCCAAGGGCAAGCAAACAAGGGAAAGAGAGCAGAGCCCACCTTAGCTTATGCCGATATCCTCAGCCCATGATCCATGCCACCTCTTCTACGCTTCTCCTCTCTTAGGATCACCTTCTGCACCATAACATGTGGGAACACTGCCAGCCCAGGAATGAGCTCCTTGCTGTGTGTGTTCCCTTGCATGCTTCAGAGCTTCTCCTCATACTAGTCCCTCTCCAGAAGGTCCCTGTTGTCATGTGGCTAAGCCTGATCCCTTAAAAAAAATAATGAGCAATTGTTTCCATTCCAGAGGAAAGAGAAATTGTGCCATATTTTGAAATGTCATATTCCTATATGATTTTTTTCTACGGAAAAACATTATTGCTCATCCAATTATTACCTCCATTTTGTGGAGCTTTCTCTGACCCTCTATCCTTTGAATCATCACACCTGCTCATCTGTGTGTGTATCCGGCCACTTTTCTAGTTGCATTACCTTGCTCTGTGTATGCCTGCCACCGAGGGTGGGGTCAGAGTTTGAATCAATCTCCCCCAGTGTCCATGGTAGGATCTCAATAAACTCTTGGTCAGTGTTGTGGCAATATTCTCAGTGCTGGCCATTCTCTCTGCTGCAACCTACTCTGTAACAAGTCCAGTGAATGGGGGTCACATGTAGAGTCAAAGGTCATCACCCTGATCACTTCTGGTCATTAACACCCTCAGAACTACTATATCCCATCCCTGAGCCTACCCAAGCCCTGCCTCTCTCAGTCAATGTCATCCCCTTACCTCCGTCCCGTACGGTAGTCTAGAAATTACTTCAGGTGCCATCCAGTAGGGAGTGCCAACCAATGATTTCCTCTTCGGTACCTCTTTGGAAACTTGAGCACAGAAACCAAAGTCAGATAACTTTATCTGGAAAGAAAAGGAAAGCAACAAACTTAAAAATGCAGGCTTGGAGATGTAGAAATATGTAGAAACTTTCACATTCAAAACAAAACAGTCTCATTAATAGGCCCTGGGAATACTATTGGCAGAGGGGTTGTCAGACCCTTTTATTGGGAAAGCATGAGCCATTTTAGTAGAATAACTATCATGGCCCCACCATGAGAGTTTAAATCTTTACACTCCTGCTGCTTATATCTTTTATAAAATAATGAAACCAAAAATTGACACAGAAAATATACTAAAAGCAACAAATTCGTTAAAATTCAAACACACAACTTCAATGTAATAGATGAAGTTTAAGTAAATTGCTATTCTCAATGAGAGTTTTGTACAAACTGTTACTACAGGTAAGGTTCTTTTGCATTGAACACATTTAGATTTCTACAGTAACATGAGAGATTCAAATAACCAAACTTATTTCTGTATGTGAATTATTGTAAGGCCTCATTTACATAGGATGCTTTAAATATTGGCTCCCCTTTTCTTTTTGTTTTCCTCCTTTGTTCATGACAAAGTTACCAATGTGCACATCAGCCTTTTCTCTGGCTCTACATCTGCTGCCTATACCTTAAATATTGGGCTACCTAGGGTTCAGGTCCAAACTCTCACCTCTTCTCTTTTTACATACTTTCCATACTTTTGCTGGACACACTTTTGCCTCCCATGCTTAATGCAGATTGCTCTCCTCCATTCTAAACCTATACTTCATCTAGTGTATGTTTTCATATGGGGTTAATTTTGGTGAAAGATATAACACCTGTGTCTAGATTTAATTTTTGCATGTGCATATCCAGTTTTTCTGCAACATTTGTTGAAAAGACCATCTTTGCTTCATTGTATTGCCTTTACTCTCTTGTCAAAAATTAGCTGAATATAGTTTTGGGGCATATTTCTGGGCTCTTTATTTTGTTCCATTGGTCTATTTATGTGTTCTTTTGCCAATACCACCTAGAAAGCTGACAGTGTGGCATTGTCACTGAAGGTGGATAGTGTTAGTCTTGAGATTTTGTTCTTATTCTTCAATATTTGTTTGCTATATATTGTATTGATCTTTTGCCTCTCTGTATAAACTTTCAAATTGGTTTGTGAATCTCATAAAATAACTGCTGGGATTTTGACTGGGATTGCATTGAATTTATAGATTAAATTGGGAAGAGCTGCAACTTGACAATATTGACTCTTCCTAACCACGAACATGGAATATCTCTCCATTGATTTGTTCTTTGATTTCATTAATCAGTTTTGTACATATAGATCAAGTATATATTTTGTTAGATTTATACCTAAGTATGTAAATAGCATTGGTTTTTTTAAATTTCAAATTCCACTTGTTCATTGCTAGAATATAGGAAAGTGACTTCTGTATATTAACCATTTATCCTGAAACCTTGATATAATTGTTTATTAGTTCCAGGGGTTTTTCTTGTTGATTCTTTTGGATTTTCTACATAGACCCATCATGTCACCTATGAACAAAATTAATTTTATTTCTTTTTTCCAAATCTGCATATATAGGGTGTCCAAAAAAGTGTATATATACATTTTGAATAATTATAAAGGCAGTGGTTTATTAAAATGCACTTCATTTTCAAAATTGAGCTATTAGCTGTGAATGTGTATACACATTTATTTTTTCTTGTCTTATTGCATTAGCTAGTACTTCTAATATGATGTTAAGGATTGGTGAGAGGAGATATTTTTGCTCTTTCCTCATCTTAGTGAGAAAGCATATTCAATCCTTATGCATACCTAAAAGTCCACTTGCCCCAAAATTTTTCTCAGGAGCCTATATTGATCTCTCCTTTTCCAAATCTGAGAGAACTCAGCACTCAATCTTGAATTGTTTTCTGATGTTGATTTTTGTCCCTCTGGATAGAAATGATATTCCTCAAGGGCAACAGCTCTGCCTTTCACTTGTGAAGCCTCAAGAGTTGGGAAAGTAGTAGATACTAAAAACACATGCTACAAGATAGATTTGATTTTATATTGACACACCCACACACATATATATGATAGCAGGTCATTAATAGACACATTGGTGCTCTATCATCATTGATTTACTTATTGAAGACAGCTGTTTCTAGAATCAAAGTTAAATCACAGATGAATTAGGGTAATGTTTTGGAAATTATTAATATGTTTTTTTTCTTCTTCCATTTTCTTATTCATGATCTTCTCCTTAATCAGGCCAATATCAGTATGGTGTGGTTTGGAGTGGAAGGAGATTAGATTACTTCAGATACATGCTAGAGAAAGCTGGTTTAGTGGAGAGATTATTTTATCAATTGCTTTGACACATCAAGAGCCAAACACAGATTTCCCTGTGGTATGAAGAAGAGAGCTCTGGGCCACGGCAGTTGGTCTATAATCCTTGTGGCCCTATTTTAAAAGGAGTCTACAATTCAGAGAAGTAAAAATTCCTACACTCCATCCCTTTTAGCCTGGGATGATTTGCAGAAGAGAACAAAAGAGCAGCAATTTGATTATGTCAGGCCTCAACTCTTTATTATACATCACTTCCCACTACTCCAACAGATGATGGTGGGCTTCAGATATATCTGAATAGTATAAATCCCCACACGAAGAAGGTAGAGGAGAAGCCACATGCATCTGTCTTCAGAGGCAATATTCAAAATATTTACTAACCATTTTCATCTAGACCAATCAGAATCTAGACATAAAGTTAAGTGGTATCCTGAAATTATCTTGGAGCATTACCATACTTAATGAGGTAAAGGGGGTCAGATACTCCAATGGCTTGAAACAGTGGACATTAACCAATAAGCATGAAAATATTGCAATATTTTAATAATGAATATAAATATACTAGTGAATACTAGTTGAACACCAGCCTTGGCTATGCCCAATATGACCTCCATGAAGAGAGTGGGTGGAAGTGAATCTGAAGCAATGTTACTGGTTCCCATGAAATCATCATTAACTTATTTAAGGCAGCTGTTTTGATCATTAAATATCTGAATAGCATACACCCCCACAGAAACAAAGGAGAGGATCTTTGTGTAGTGTGCAAGAATCCAGAAGCTCCACTAAATCTGTGAGGGAATGGGGAAGTGCCCAGCTCAAGTCTATGGTTGACATGAGGAGGCAGCTCCAAGGATGGCTTTCAAGTCTTGTGGCAGGAGGCTGGAGTTGTGAGGTACAACAGAGGCGCTCTCCTGAAAAGCCCAGCAGTTGATGGAACCTGTTAATCCTCAGTGGTCACTTCTCCAGGTAGCAGAATAGGCCAGTTTTGTCAAGGCAGGGACCAGAGAGGAACAAGAAGATAGTCTATCTACTTCACCCTGAGGTCCCATAATCCACATTTGTCCCTAATTCTCCCAGAACTACCTTGAGAAAGATGGGGGTTCTAGGAGTGAAGAGATAGTAGGTGGTTTTAAAGACTGAGGTTTTAAAGATAGCACTTAAACCTTATAATAATGTGGTTGAACTTTGATAGACAATTTAAATATTTAAGCATACCAAATCTAACCGATTGAAATTTAAAAGATTTTTAAAAAAATCTAGTCCATGGAGTTTTGTTTAGAAGTCTAGGTTAGTTTTTTAAATCAATGAAATGATAATTGTGTGTGTGCCTGTGTGTGCAGTTATTTCCAAAGCTTGAGAATAAGTAAATTTGTAACCCTACTACACAGATGGAAGAGGAGGAACAATTTGGCCAATACATTTTATTTGCCTGTAAATTTAAGAGATCGACATAATTAAGGAGGTGAATGCATTTGCATTTTGGTATTGGCAGTCTTTAATGTCGCTATCTCTAGAGTGGTTTTCTCTTTCCGGACATAAAAAAAGACCCCAAACCTGCCAGACTGGTAATTACCTCCCTGACAAAATGTAAGATGAGAAATGGAAACTCGGCACTTGGAAAGCTAGGCCTGTTCTGTTGTAGGAGTCTAAGTGCTTCTGCATATTTTTTTTCACTCATCCAAGTACATAAAAGAGAAAATTTTCTAAAAGAACATAATTACACACAACATTCGTCCAAATAAATCTGCAAGTAGATAATGAGAACTCAACTAATGACTATAATAAGGCATTGTAAGCAGATCTTAAAAGCAAATCACATAGACTCTAAGCTGAGCCTCATTTTATTGTACAATGTGTCTACATCAGAAACCATCTTAGTCCACTAATGCAGTTAGGCTAAGAGAACTGTAACTAGCACACTGTCTGCCCCCTAAAAGGAGGAGATGGAGCTTATTCCATGGGAGCCAGACATCGAACTAGAGCTTAGAGCTCAGAGAAAGCTGCTGTTTAAACCTGAGATTCTGTCCATCTCAATGTGTCCTGGCTGGGAATCAGAGGCCCCACAAAAATATGGAAGGTGGGGCAAAAGAGTCTATTCACAAGATAGCTACAGGTTTACAACAGAAGGTAAATCCACATTCTGTAAATTGCATACACTCTACAGAATTATTGTGGTGCAGAAGATACAGTTCCCTTCATTTATGTTTGCCTTTACTGCCTTTGCCTTTGGGGTCAAGTTCATAAAATGTTCTCTATGACCAAGGTCCATAGTTTGGTACCTATATTTTCTTCTATGTAACTTATTGCTTTGGGTCTTTGATCCATTTTGAATTAGTTTTTGTACAAGGAAACAAAACAGAGGCAGCCAACAGGGAGATGATATTTGCAAACAGTAGCTCCAGCAAAGCTTTCAATTTCCAAAATATATAAAGAACTCATAAAACAACACCAAAAAACTAACAACCCAATCAAAAAGTGGGCAGAGGACCTAAAAATACACCTCTCTCAAGAAGACGTATGAACAGCCAATAGATATATGAAAAAAATGTTCAACTCACTGGCAAGTAGAGAAATACAAATCAAAACTACAATGAGATACCATCTCACACCTGTTAGAGTGGCCATTATCAATAAGACAAGCAATAACAAGTGTGGAAGAGGTTGTGAAAAAAAGGGAGCCCTCATTCACTGCTGATGGGAAT